CAACTGCAGTGCCCGGATCTACGACTACTTGTGTGCTGGATGAGCCTGCTTGTTCAGTGCTAGCTGTAGGCGCCACGGCAACTGCAGTGCCCGGATCTACGACTACCTGTGAGCTGGATTTGGGAGCAGGGTCATCAGACGGACTAGATGATGCCAGAACTGTATTGCTGAGGCTTGAGGATTGGGTTTCAAGCTCCGCTGGTACGCTCGTACTTGAGGGAAGTGCGGATTCTTTGGAAGCAGACGTAGGAGTTGGTGTGGGTGCTACTGCAGATGGCGTTGGGGTAGCAGACACAGTCACTGGGGCTGGTGTTCCAGCTGGCGTTGCTGTAGACGACGAAGCTGGAATGGACGTGAAAGCGACAAGCCCAGTGCCCTTGGTCAGCGTGGAAGGCGGATCAAAGAAGGCTTTGATGCCGTCTATACAAGTCGAAAACTTTGGCTCAAAGTCGTATACTTGAGTTGGGACAGAAACCCATGGGGAACATGGGTTATAGACGCAAGTAAATTTGTTGAGAGGCATACCAAGGCAGCCAAACCTGAAGAGATTGATTAGTAAACGTGGACTAGAATGTAACAGTGATTTCCCTTACCCGCAGGAAATGTCGCTAGCAGATGCATAATCTGATTCGGCTGTATACTTGGTCGTATCATTTGAAGCGTAGTAACTCCACCACGATGTTGTCACTTCTGTGCATTGGCCATTCCTGGTAACAGGTTAGCAACAGTTTCACCTGACTGGGGTCTGAGAACATACGCAGCAACATAGTCAAAAGTTTCCCAAGGACCGTTTGGAGTAGCATGAGTACAGTAATTGACATTGAGATCACTCGCATCGGAGGCAGCGTAGTAATTTCTTTGCGTGGACAAAGCAGTGGGCTCAAAAGCTATAGTTTTGTTCAATATTGCCGAACCCTTATAAAAACGTCAGCGTCAAATTTTTGATGTTAGAATACCCAGGCCAGAAGCATTTACAAGTCAAAACTAATCTCTTGATAGCTCTGACAAAAAAATATGGTATGCTTCCTGCTTCGGCTGTTTGCCCGAACGATGAAAGGAGAGAGACTTACAACCGAGCCACACATATCTGTTGCTCCAACACTTTCAAATACAACATAGACCGAAGGCGATACACTTTTTATATCTAGTTAGAATCTAGTTACACCAAAGTAGCTTTTGCACTCACTATGTGAAGTTTGTACCAGTATCAATCAAAGTTGCAACTGCAGGCGTGGGTGCTGGCGTAGGCCACATCAAAACTGAAACGGACCCTCCCTAGAAAAGTTCAGAGACTTAGTGTTACTCTTGAATCCACCAAAGTAGAGAAAATTGTTCTTTCCTTACCAATAGTGTACAATTCAAGCAGCAAGGCGCACTTGGTGTGAACGAAAACGTATCCTGGAAATCGGTCCAGTAAACCGTAGGGCTAGTATTTACTTCTTGAGTCGTAACAACAGCCGTCGCAAAAAAAGCCGACACCGAACTCGTCCATAGAGAGCCGCACAAACTCGCAAGCGAAGGGTTTGCGGGTACGATATTCAGCGGATATTGGGTGGTGTTATAAGGATTACCAGTAGGGTTGAATCCAATCGCTTCCGGATTTCCTGATCGGTAGCAATCGTGCCATTCCTCATCGTATATAGAGCAGGCATTTATGTCGAAGGAGCCGGTAGAAACCTTAAACGTAGGGCTGGGTGTGATCGTCGGAGAAGTCGCCGGGGATGTTGTATTGGCAATGGCACCTTAGTGCAGTAGCGTTAGCACAAGCAAATCAGCGAGTTGAGGCTCCGAATATAGATCTTACGATTTTTCAGAGGAATCCTATTTCCTATTACCGGTGTACCAAAGAAAAGTACTGCTTGTGCGATAGCTAAAACCTGGACAAAATTTATGATAGCCATTATTCACCTCTCTTTGCTAGAACGAGTGATACAATGGAAGACGAAAATACGAGGCTTTAAAATGCGGGCTGAAGCCCTTCATATACCGACCGGTACGGCGTACAAACAGATCTGCTGTGCCTCTTCTGTACTGTACGTGCTGGGACAGGGTATGTAAGATTATTTACGTAGATAAGCGTGCTGGCGAAGCCATATTACTAGTCTACTTGCAGGCGCTTAAAGTCTTTAACCTGGTAACTTCATAACAATAACTAGTAAAAAGCTTAAGCATCAGATAATGATCTCAACCTAATCATAAAAATTATAAAACTACGAAATAAAAATCTTATAACAAAGTCTTCTATAAAGGTCTATTAAGTCTGAATACTTTAGTCCAGGGTATACCCCTGTGTATCTATGTGCAAAGATTATTACCTAACCTTGTAATTGACGTACAACTATACCAGCCTGTGGCCAATCAAATAAATATCCATTAGTGCCCCTGGTGAAAAGGTGTCCCGGACACGGCCCTTTTCAGGGATTTATCGCTTGAGAACACTGCGCTATAATGGATAAGCGCTCGCTAAAGTGCCTTTAATCCAGGGGGACTTTTACGACCCACTAGTCGGGTGATAAAGATGTTCTTGCGGAGCCTCCGCACCAGCGAAAACTCTACTGGAAACGTGATTTATGTCATGCGTATGCTTGATTTCTACTTCAACTCACTTGATATAGAGAACCCGGTTTTATGATTAGGAGCCAGTTAGACTTATCTGGCGGTAGCGGCTTATAAGCTTAAGCTCCATAAATCACCCTTTGTCGGAATCAACGTGCCTGTAGTGGTAATTAGTGGTGGGGAAAGTGATCAGGAAACATTCGAGATTTTTGTACGTTTTTGTACTTGGTAGAATCAGCTCCTTTAATCGGATAGCTTTTCTGGACTTTCAATTTAGGAGATAATTAAAAAGCATCGAGGTATAATTGTTGGTATCACAGGTTTGATACGTGATCACTTCTCTACTACGTAGTATAGACTTGATTCTGGTATATTGGTTGTTGATGCTTAGCATTCATAATGGTGTTGCAAATGCGAAGAGGTTATGCCTCTTCTGCTGACTAAGCTAAATCACATGGTGTCACATGACTGTAAAGGTCGGAAGACAGCCCATATTCCAACAATAATTGACAACTGTGCTAATATAAACCCCAGAGTATAGAAAAGGGGTAGAATCCGACCCCTCGGTTAATTGGTGCATTATTTGTGAACGCCAAGCTCAGAGGCTAGCATACTTTTATGCATGCATAACTCATTGCGACCCCAAATTTCATTCTGAACCTCATCTCACGAAAAGCATCAACAGCTGCAAACCCCACCACTTTCCGAAACGAGTAATAAATATACCAGATATATATCAGGTACGTAAATACGTCGATTCTATCTAAAGACGGTTTGCGGTTTTCCCTTCATCGCAATGGGCGGAAATGTGTCATTTCATATGAAAACAGAGGCGAAGCTCTCAGATGAGCAGCTCACTCACATCTACCTATGCGATCCTACCCTGAGCTATGACCTAAATGAGCCGAATCTCATCTTTCAGAAGCAACAGCGGAGAAATGATTGGTGACAGTTTGATGCGTCAATTATACAATTTCTCTCCGTCGCGCTCAACGTTCCCCTCACTCCACATGCATGGCGCAAATATGGAGCCATGAAATATGACTGACCACTGAACTTTTAGGGAGTTCTCGTTGTAGCCTTCATATTCTCGCAATCCCAATCGCTGGATTATATACTGGTGAAGTGGGAAGAGCACTCGTTGGCTTAAAGGGTCCATCTTCGCGATGCATTGAACCTTTCGTTTGCCAACCTCCTCGATATATCCACCATCAATTCAACATTACACAGCCTTGCCATAAGCAACACGGATTCCAGCTGAGATGGAGACCCTAGGCGTAGATCTAACTGCTGGATCAGGCCAGCTCTCAACTACTTTATCATGGCAGTAGGTCCTCAACTCGTCTCATATCTCAGCCCTATAAGTCGCTAACCCCTCATAGTGAGCCTCATCCTCATTTCGTGATCCTTTTCATCGGCCCCGACGAGGTCGTATTTGGTATCCAGAAGGATCTTCTTTGCGCCCAGTCCCCATACTTCCGTGACGAACTTGCGAAAGAGGGCAATAACAAAGTCGAATATGTCCTCAAAGTGCCTGATACGACCGTTGAGATATTCGGGTGCTTTCAGAATTTCATTTATACAGGTGAAGTTTATAATAGGCGTGGCGGGAAGGACATGCCCGAGTACACACTTTTGCTCGGCGTTTGGAAGCTCGCGACAAAGCTGCAGATGGCGCCTTTGCGTGTCGCTGTTTTGGATAGCATGGCGGAGCGCCGCCAACGAACCAACATGATTCCTGGCATTGAACTACTGGAAGCTGCCTGGAAGGAAACAGAACAAGGCAGTGGGCTTCGGAAGATGCTCATAGAATGGTCAGCAGAACACAGTGAGTATTCAAACATTTCATTCCTCGGTGTCCATTCCGTTGATCTTGTTGAATACGCCCGTCTCATTCGTGGGACTTTTTTGCTCATGCCAAAATGAACTATCCCTAACATTACACAGTGCGGTCCTCTCCTTACGTTCGTAATGATTTTGCCCGATCGCTTCCCAAGGAAATTCTGAGTGAGCTTGTTATTGTTATGAGCGAACTCCCAACAGTGTCCGCCAAAAAGTCTGTAAAGATGGACCCACCGATCAGCGCCACCACTCCCTCCAATCAACCCCTCAATCACCCCCGCCCAATCGATATGGATGCCGAACCGCCTCGTCCAACTAAGCGTGCCCGTAAATCCGAATCCGGTCCCTTGACTGGCGCTCCAGATGAAGAATTTGAAGTCAAGCATGTCGTCAAGAAGCAAGCTCGCCGCTCTGAACCTGGCCGCCGTATCAACCGCCGTGCTACCAACCAGACTCCTGGTCCAAAAGATCCATCGGAAATAGATCCAGAGACGGACATGATCTACTGCAAAGAACTTATTAGCCGTATGCTCTCAGGCCCCGGCTTCTGGACACGTCTTGTCAGGCCGTTCAAGGACCCCGTCGATCCCGTCGCCCACAATTGTCCTCAATACTTCAACGTTGTCAAGCATCCAATATGCCTGCGCGAGATCAAGGCCAAAATGGACAAGGGGGAGTATGCTAGTTCTGCGGAATTCGAGGCTGACATTCGGCTCGTCTTTCAAAATTGCTTCGAGTACTGGCAGCCACAGGATCAAGTCTTTAAAGACTGCGAGGCTTTTGAGAAGTACTTCAATGATAAATGGAGCATGCGTCACAAGTGGACTCCACCAAGCATCAAGGCCGAGGCCATTGAGTAAGCTAGGGTTTGTTCAATATTTGCGGGCACTGCTGGGACCGACCGGTTACCAGCATTCCTGGTTTATGGCTTTTTTGCAAGGCAGCGTCCACTGCTGCGTATTCCTTCTTGCTTCCGATGGAATACTGTCTATCACTATTTTGGAGATTTCCTAGCTGAACTCGTAATCGGCGTTTGGAGTTGATGGGTATGGTCTATTAGGGCTGTTATCCGCTAATCTTGCAAATTAAGAGTTTGCATTGCGTGGGTAACCTGTACCTGCTGTAAGAAAAGGCTGATACCTTTCACTAGCCGAGCATAATATGTACTTTAGTCATAAATAATGAATTCGGCCGAGCCTATGATACCGATTATAGTTGCACGATATTCTATCTACTTTCGGAATGACTCCTCCAACTCCATAAACTGCCTGGCTTGAGTCAATCTAATGCAATACGTATGAATACCTATAGAGGTAATTTTCGGGCCGATGTCGACAATCGAAGACTATACTACTATAGTGGGAGGGTGCAAGCATATGCTGACGCGATTTATTGATATATACAAGAGATGAAAAGGTTCTGGTTGTGATTCTAAGAGGATGAGTTATTGGGAACTTTTCGAGGAGTTCCTGCAAGCATTCTTTTCTTGTGTATTGCGGATCCGCCATATATCGCATGGGGCTATTCACTTGAAAGATGCAGTAGCGTAGCCTACTAGTAGTTCCGAAACGGCGGGATCATTCTTCCGGGGCTCTAATACTATTCTTCGACCGGTGAGCAAAACACTCTACTTTGTGCCACAAAACCGACTTGTTGAAACAGACATCGCCAACGATATAATGGCAGCAAAACACCAACTCGCAACGATGGGCCAAGCTATCCAACTCCGCACAACGCCGCTTTTGAAGTTCCCTTCAACCTCAAGAAGCTACCGCAAGAAATCCGCCTGAAAATCTTCGCGCACGACCTGGTACACTACCCCTCTGGCAACCCACCCGCATTTCTCGAGGCGCTCGCCCGAGATGAATTCTTCGCCGACGACTACATCAGAGCCGTGCGCTTGTACAGCTATGGAGGAACAGACATGAATAACTTCAGGGTTACGAGCTCGAATGTACAGGCTTTCAACAGGATGCCCATGAAGCAGATGTTGAAAATCAAGCATTTCACGCTTGTCATGAATACAGACAAGGAGTAAGTCAGGAGTATCTTATTAGTGCTTAGCCCAGTGTCCTATGTTAGGTGGGTAAAGCTGTCTTTGTCTCTGTTGAAAGGATGTGGCTGGTTCAAGCTGCTGACTACCTTGGAGTCTGCCCAAGTTGGGGAAGCTCAGAATTCACTGAGTAGCAATATGTCTCGCTGGCATGCTTTGAGGAGTTCAACTTACGAGCTATATGGATCCTGCGATTGAAACTAACTCTTAATAGATTAGCGAAAACAAACCCCATATACCTAAAATTCAATAAATGCAAACTCAAGAACAACTTTGAAAGCATTATCATTGATTTTGGACAGTGCGTTGATAATGGTGACAGTACCAGTATGTTTGAATGGGCAATCTGGGCAGCCCAGGCTTCTAGCCAACATTACAGGATTATCATCAGATACACAATGTTGGGCGGTGCTAAAGCGCAAACATGGAGTTGGGGGTGGTCGGTAGGTGGATACTTTCCATCGGTTCAACTCCGCGAAACGGGAAAAGAGTGTCATGTCCGGACAGGGCTTGAATTATGTTGTGATGAGAATTGAGGGTGATGATGTGGTGTATGGTGAGCATGCATAGGAGAAGTTGAAGGGCTTTAGATGTGGCTTCCGACGTCCGAGATACAGGTGGGGGTTCCTTCAAAAGCAGGGGATGCCATGTCTTCGGACGAAGACATCCATTGGATCTTATGTTGGATTGGCTACACCGGATCAGACCATACGCTGCAGTCTTTGAGCTAAGACTAGAGGTCTTGTGATGTTATTGCGGCTAGTTGATTCATTGCGAGTTGCGAGTGCGACAAAAATCAGATAGCTCGTGCAATTTTGTGGAAGGCGTGGGTCTCCTCTCATCAGGTCTCATGAATATGGAGTCATATCATAAGAGATTGAGTGTTCAGTCTGTCCTGTCGTCGTGAAGGGTTTGCTCAAGTGAGTAAGTTGAGTAATTGGACGAGAAATCAGAGAGTACCTATCCCGCACCCACAGCCCAGCGGGACAGAGTTGTTGTGAAGCGAATATCTCGAATTCGACTGCACCACAAAGGCAATACCCGTTAGCATGAATGTGCCACAAATGGACACAGGTTGAAATTCTAAGACTTTCAATAGCCTAGCGACTAGATTAAAACCCCGACTCCGACTTTGCGAGGGTCACACATTTGCTGCATGAATTAACGCGGTATTGTTCTAGAATCTCTAGAATCTTGCTGTTGTGAACCGCAATGCTCGCAAGAGTACTAGGATTCTGAAAAGGCAAGAGGCTGAGGTTCCTTATGCAGATTGGAGCACGTGAAGGAGCCCGTAAAGTCGCTAGTAGGAAAGTCCATTATTTTGCACGAAGAAGCCAATGATGACAGTATTATATACAGTTGAGGTGGCATTCGCTGTATGTTATTCGCTGCCTTCAAGTGAAAGAATCCTGTCAAGTCCAAAGTTTGGACAAGCTCTTACTATACACGATCAAATTCATCCTAGGTGCTTGGTCAACCAAGACAATATTAGCAGCTAATATGGGGTCGCCCATTCGTTGAGTACTTGAGATACATCGACACACTACTACCCCGGCCCCCTTCCCCGCGTGCGAGGACAGAGCGGTGTCAGAGCCTCTAGAAATCGCTTCGTCCCGCTCTATAACTTGTGGGTCCAACTGTTATAGCCTGTAAGTGGCAAGTGGCAAAGCTTATAAAGCCTGTGGCGAAGCTTAGAAATAGCTATTTCTAAGCAGGTGGCAAAGCTTAGAAATAGGGCTTGAAGAGCCCTATATATACAGCATACTTCCCACTGTAGAACAGCAGTCAATTCAAGTTATTACCCCTAGAAACAACACCAACAGTTCAGTACGCCGGCCGCAAAATCATCTATTTATATACTTGAGTGTACAGATTGCAATGAACATGACAAATTGATTCTTTCGTGTTATCATTGCAACCCAAACTGCAGACACCACCAGAGAACATCAGCCAATTTCTGGCTAGAAATGCACGCAAGACAACGTGATGGAAACCATGCACAGTCGCTTACTATCTTAAGATGCTATTATATCAAATCTCACCTTGAGCTGCATGCAGGACGCGTCTCACCACCAATCTTATGGGATGGGTTGGCAGCCTCCAGAAAATGCAGGAAAGCATCTTTTCAGCGAATATCAAAAGAACATTCGAGCCGCTCGCCGACTTTCCTTATTGCCAGTATCTCAAATTGATGAAGTCTAGTTTTGGATCGAGGAAATACGACAGCTTGGTCTCGTTGCCTTTTCCGGTCTAATCGACTACTGCCGGTTGTGTTCATTATGGCCGGTCTGGTGTTTACTGCTACTCTCTTTGTAGGTCCCATGGCGACATTAAAGTCAGGGTCTTCGGTGCGAACGTTTGAGACACCTCCCTGTTTTACGAAAGTCCCCTGAGTTACCCTGTCGACATTCTTTGGTCCCCTTTTATTCCTGAATCGGCGCTAGATGTTACTCGTTGCTCTCAACGATGTCATGTCATCAGGTGCATGGATCTCGTAGAAGTGTTCGGAGTCGCCGTTCAACTGCGACTTTTGTCTCGTTGGCCGGCCACTACTCAAGTCACATTTCAGTACAAGCCAGTTCGCCTTTCTTGCGCAGTCTAGGTAAGGCGCGCTAGTCTGTTTTGGTTAGAGCATATTGCTGTGTTCCCTATTCATGCTTCTATTCCTTCTACCTTTATGATAATACTCATCATGATTGCTATAAAGTTCGGGCGCTCTCCAGGAGTCATTGCTTCTCTCATAACAGAGCTTTACTCCTTTGCAATACCTGTCATACTCTTTCAATTCTACTTGGGGTAGCCTACTAGCAACTCTATTGCGCCGCCTTCACACCCACAACAATGACGAAGAAAAACTCTGCTACCCATTCATCTTCAAAGAACTTAAAGAAAACCAACTCATCGTAAGGCTCCTAGATGTAATCGAGCATAGGATTTCGTCGCTGACCCTTACCTAGAAGCACAGTCCATCGTTCCACCACCGAACAGGCAACGAACGGCCACCTTAAGATGTCAAAAACCGCTCAGGCCATAGACTCCTTAGTCGATAACACACATACCCAAATGCGCTTTACCAACGGCCAATGTCCGCTGTACGAGGAAGATCAACCCTTGTACCAGGTATCCGAGCAAGACTCGCAGTCACAACAGGGTGATGAGGGCACTCAAGATGTACAATATGCGCCTCAGTTGCAACAATGGGCATACAATGTCTCGGATTCAAGCCTTCCTTTTACTGAGAAGCTTGAGAAATCGAAGTGGAAATCAGGGCAGCTTGAGAGGCTTCGCATGGTTGGCAGGGTGTATGATTGTAGGTTAGAAGAAGTGGCAAGGACTAGACGGTAGCAGGGGTCAAAATTACCATGGGCATTTGACCCCTGCTTATGCGACTTCAATCGCGAGGCTCAATTCTACTGTACTGCAGATTCGAGTCTGCGCTTTAGACTATCTACCTACATAATGTGGACAAAATTTTGAAGCAAACAATAATAACGGCGAATTTGGTCCCTTTATGATCGTGGTCAAAGCATAAGGCTGTCTGTCCCGCGCACCGACGCCCAAGTGGTTGCGGGGTACAAAACCCAGTGGGAAGGTACCCTAAGCATGGCTTACAGTAGTGGGGCCGCTGCGCTGGACTGGTTCGGCAGCCCGTCCAGGCTCCACAGTGTTTCATTTTACACCACACTATACTGTCTACTCCGGTGGTGCATTGTTTTCGCTCCCAGCGCTTAAAGAAGTATTTGCAGTCTTTGTTTTTGCTTCGCTTTGCATTGTCAGCTTCCCCATTAGCCACCTTGAAATTGCGGCGCTTTTTTCTGCGTTTAATATTAAACTGCAGCTGTGCAAGTATTTTGCTGATCATGGGGTAAGGTTCTCCCTTTAAAAACGTTCACACCTTCCTGTCCGGGAAATTTCGCAGGTAGTTTAATCTGAAGTTTAATCTGATATCCCATTGGTTCTCAAAGCACCTTCTGCATCTGGTTTAAGATAGCAATAATTAATAAGAATTTTGTCACCAGCACGCCGCGCCGCATACAAGCAGCACACAAGCACGGTATCACACCGCTGTAACGGCGCGCAAGAAAAGTCATACGACGGCCCGAGAGATCTGCGTGTCTTGCAGCATTCCATCCAGAAGGATTCATACGGACCTATAAGCAGCTGACAAGCAAGGCGGGTAGTTTCCGTTAATGTTAGCTGCATCTCCCGAGATGAAGTTGTGCATGAAACCTGCAGCCACGGCCTTGGGATTGTGTTTAGCGTGCGTGCATGTTTTGTAGCAACTATTGGCAAAGCTGACGATGGGCCATAGGCTCGAGTCCTTGCGGGAGCCGTGATAGGTCCGATGTATCCTTCCCATCGGTACTCGTACTCTTGCCGCTGTTGACGAAATTCCTTCTGGTTCTTTGCGATGGTACTCGTATTGGCGCAGACTGCGGGGTTTGTAGGATGCCGCTGCGTTGGGTTTTTGCACACCTTTAGCCTTGCCCCGTTTACCGTCATGCCTGCCGCTATCATATCGATTGCCTGACACTCAGGCGCCTAGTGCAGTAGTCTGAGATACCTTAGGGTGCCATTGCGTCAGGTCTCCAAGACTATTGATCGACGATCACTGGCTTATTATATCCCATCTGCCGGGACACTTACCCGCTACCGACTCCGTGTCAAGGGATCTCTGGAAACCATAAAGCCTCTTCTAATGGAATCCGAGGGTACCGTGGAGCCGGATACGTCGAACCTTACTGTGAGTTTGTCACTTCAACCCAACACCTTGTTTCATATCACACGCCCACCACTACTGTCTGCAACGTTGGAAACCGGATAAAAGTGTATAGGTTACATACGTAGCCAGCAAATTTCACCACAATACCACCTCCTTGCATGAATGGCAGTCCAAGCATCATTGGCAGTCCAATATCGCTCCTGGACTATCCCTGGAAATTCCAGTCTTCCGCGGAGGGCTTTTGCAGTTCATAAAGACTATTCCCTGCTGCATATCTCTTTCGTGCATTGGATTACACTTTATAACTACCATGCAAGCCGGAACTTCTTCAGCACGGGGACCCGGAAGATATGCAAACCAAGCCGCGAATGCAAATGAAACAAGAGAAAGCAGAAATCCCAAGCAACTACGGGGTGTTTGCATGATTATGGAGTCGCTGGTTGGTTGCAAAATGCGCTATTGTAAAATCGGTGACCAGGGTAGACTCGGAACATGCACCCAGTTCTCTATGTAGCAGAGGCGTTGGCGTTGTTCACTTGGCCACCCCACCGTAGGGCGTAAACCCCCCTTTCATCATTAAAATAGTTTAGCTCTACTGCAGTAAAGACCCCCAATAGATACAGAGGCTCTGTTGGTTGCGCTGCGCTGAGCAGCGCTGATCTTCACCCCGCCGCTCGTAATTTTCAAAGGCTTCCATCTGCTCAACACCGACGAATACTTCTTCACATATAAGGCTTAAGCATCACATCACGATTGATCATCTAAGTTCAACGTCATACAAATTTCGCCCTCTCAGTGAATTACAGGCTTGACTTCAAGTCACCCCTGAATCATCACTTCCCATCTTCCCATATCACTCTTCCCAAAATGGAAAATCAGAACGACAAACAGACAAGTAAAAGTAGCAAGGGCACCAAGAACGCGTAAGCAATTACCACACTACCCCGAAACGATATATACTTACTTCTGTTATCAAGTGACCCGGCACACCTCTCAAGCTCGCTTCCGCAGGATACCAACTGCAAACCAGGCTCGCAGCCCAAGTCGCCTCCCAACAGCGAGGCCTGGGAGTTGGAATTAGTTGAATCAGCTCAATTACAATCATGGGTTTACGAGATCTCTAATGCTGGTATAACGCTTGCTGAGAGGCTTGAAAAGACTCGCTGGGAATACGGAGATTCGTGGGTACTAAGCGACATCTCCAAGCTTTGAGATTGGTGATTTTGCCATGTTCGTAACTCTCCCGGCGGGATGGTGGTTCGGAGGTGGGGTGGTAGACATCATTTATCCTCCGTTTATAAGACCCCCGAGCTAAATATAATTTTGGAGGTTGTTTCCGATAACTTTATCAATCAAATAATATGTATTAAAGTTACATTTACGAGCTTGAAGCAGTACTGCTTCTTGAAAAGTCATATTAGTAGCCTTTTCTTTTGTCTTACGTTAGTGATATGACCTGCCGTTCGAGCATTGCGTGCGCTCTTCCTTCGCCACACAATTCGAAAACTCGCTGGCCCCAAATCAGGACTTAATCTCAGTCAACGTTACTCCCTGGATCCTGTCCCCGTATTCTGCAATCCCCAACATACAAGGCTCTACCTGATAAACTGGCACCAACAAAGATACGACGGAAAGAGGCTAGCGGCGTAGGTTTCCGATGGAAGCGACCAGGCATCAGAACGAACTAGATTCCTTGGAGGACGGAGCCTCAAAAATCCCAACAAAAAGTGCGCGGAAGTTGACGGTTAGTTCTGCAAATGTTGGTTGCAGGCTGTTGGTTTTAGGGTAGCAGCTAAAGCGATTGGCTATATATCCGTTGGTTGGCGTTGTTGGTGTTGGTAGTTGCCTGATGCTGCGGCTTGAAGCGCGAGTCTCTAGAATAGCCCCTTGTCGATAGTTGGAGGGTGAGCATGACCTGCGCGTGTGCAATGTACTTACCATATTGGGGGGTAGTTACAATAACTGTTACTCCTCAAAGCGCACTTATCCAACATTATAGAGTCTAGGTTTTGGGCTGTGAGGCACAGCTAGAAGTCTTGATCAATTTGGAAAAACCGCTGTTGGTGATGTTGAAGCCAGCTCAACTTGAGTTAGTGACACCGGATATCGAACGCTCTACCTTCTCTATCACACAGTGTCAAATCACAAGCAAGTTCCACGCAATGAAACCAACAACAAACCCACGTTAAGGTACATCCCCAAGATCGAATTCTTCAATTGCACTTGTTGACGTCTATTTCAAAGAGATTTTTATATGCTAGTAATAGTCAACGGTTCGAAGAACGATATCTGAAGAAGTCTAAAGATCACGCTCAGCTAAAATGATAGGTAATGAGTACTCGGATTCCAACCTCACCCCCAATAAACGGATGGAGAAGTCGAAATGGGTGGCGAGGGACCCTTGAAGATTTTGAGCTGCAATGTACGTACCCGACGATAGCTACCGAGCTTAGCATCTAGTAGAAGAGTTGTCTTTTTTCGGAATGCTTAGAGGAAGGTTAGGCAAATCGGTAGGCATTATGTATTTTTTAGAATTCAAGCGGAATCGACTATAACTTGCAACTTACTATTATATAATAAAAGTAGGTGCTTTAGATAAGTGTTGCACGCTACAAGGGCAAGAGCAGACATAGCAGGATATAGTTATGCTTGGTGCTTGAAATCTAAATCATCAATTAAGATGAAATTACTACATGATCGCCTAAAGATTTCCTAGAAGCACGAACATGCATGCAATGTTTCACAGCCTTAATAGCAAATCACTTGTGCCGGCTCTCCGGACAAGGATCCGGACAGGGTTTACCAAATTCAGAAAACTTGAACTTGGGTCAACTTGGGCCAATTCTATAACATAAGGCTTGAAAACGAATTCGATTGATTTAGACTCGGATTCTGGTAGTCGATAACTTGATTAAGAAGTTATGACTAGACTTATCCAAGTTCCAGTAAAAATAGAGTCTTAAACCTAAGTCGTAATCGGATCTAGCAAACCTTGCACCCTAGAATAAGACAAGTTATCTCTAGGTATAATGTCACTGTCACCCCTACCCTACCCACTAACCCTGTATATTAATAGCATGCAGCAACTATATAGATAGCGTTATGGTTCACCAGCTTGCATCCTTACTCCGTAGTATCCCTTTTCGAACGTTTGCACCCTAGTGATAGTTGGACGGCAGGGGTTTAAAAATAGTGGCAGGCCTTAGGCCAGGGGGTATCGCGTAATTACGAACAGAGGCGACTCGGCGGGTGACGGGTCAAGTGTAGAAGGCCAGGGTTCAGGGGATCTAAGAGCGGGGTGATTGGGTGGCAGGGGTACTCAGGGTGCTCAGGGGTTCTTGGGATGCTTGGGGCCCTCACAAGAGCGTGGACAATTCAAAAATCACGTAAGTATCCGGATCGAGAGCAAACCCATGTCGCCCCACCTTATAGCCCAGCGCGCACCCTGTAGGTGCGGCAACAGGGGTCCCAATAGGGCTGTAATATCTTGCTTAAATGATATGATTGAAACAATTTATATCCCATTCATTCAATCAGATGGCTAGGAATAGTAAAATAGATCTAGTAAATCACCCTATCATCACTGTAAATTCCCACTATATAAACACTGGGGCTCAAATTCCTTTTTGGCGGCATAGAGTGTCATCCGCCATCGCGCACGATCCGTCGCGCATCTATCTAATCCCTCCCTCAGAGTCCCAGTTGACCAAACCGGCACTTATCTGCATCAGACAGCCGCAAGACAAGGTTTCCATTTGACAGAAGATGTTGGTGGCGTCTGAATGAAATATGCTAATTCCTCGTAGTCGAGAGGACGCCAAAAGCTGGGTATGCTGTTAGACACAGGTATATCTAGTTCTGCTCCCAGCGGTTTCCATCTCCCTCACACAATACACTGGTATATCACAGCCTAACTTTGCTCTTTTACTTGGTCGCTTCACCATCTTTTTTTTTTTGCCGGAACTTCACTATCAAACAAGTCACATTTAAGATTCCCATACTCCTCCACCGCTCGTTCATCATGCCAAGCGAGAAGCAAGGCCATAGCAAGAAGTCTGGGGGTAGTAAAAAAGGGTATGTCTTCATTCCCGTCCCGTTATCTGTTCTAACCATTAACGTCTTCTTTGATAGAGATCAGTCATCTACCGATCATCATGCCAACGCAAACAACAGAGTCGAAACCCACCTACAGCAGAATGATGCACCCCAGCTCCAGCGCTGGGTGTATGAGGTCTCGAACGATGAGGTCACGCCTGCCGAGAGGTTTGAGAAGAAGAAATGGGAAGTAGAAAGGTTGGAAAGGCTTTGAAGAAGGGATAAAATATGTGGTACGGTTTGAACAGAAGTTGGCTGGGTAATTTTAAGGCTTGATGATCAACCACAACAACGATTTATCATGGCTTTCAAGTTAATGAATACTAGATGAAATTTGTGCACTTGCCACCGCATGCCATCCTCATTGCTCCATAGTGAGGGCCAATCCCCTCCAGAACTCACACCTCTTCACTTGATCCTTAGGAATCTTCTCCATCACCGTAGCATCAGTCTGCAGCTTCAGTCTCCTCCCACCATCAGTCCCATTTCCAAAGCTCTCCCAATATGGCGCACTCGCGAACTTGTAACTATTTGGACTCAGCTCCCTTATAAAACTAATGAAATAATCCATGACAACAGGAATTATATCTGCATTCGTGTTACTGTAACTTGAACTGATATCATCGTGGACATTTCCGAGTCCAAAGATTGCGGGTGTTTCGGAAGTATGCGGTACTCCAAGTCCATCTGCGACGTATTCGGGTTGAAGGATGTTGACGCGGTAATTCCATACTTTAGACGGACCGTTCATTGTTGCAAATGTCTGAGAGATATAATTTCCGGCACAGGTGAACGTTGATTCTCCATAGGCTGCAGCTGCGGAGGGAAAGTATGCCGCATGTTCTGGAAGCGCGGCCATCAAAGGATATTGTGCATTTATCGCATCTGTGTCGTTGGACGTGAGATGAGGATAGTTGTTCTGGAAGAATGATGCAACATCAGCTGGCGTGGACGCATCCGGTACAAAGAATGTGCCTTCGTCGGTATCATCTTAAGTAATTTTGTTAATTCAGATCTATTTTTCGGCGAGTTGTAACATACCACCAAACATTATCGGAACCTTGATGAATTTTCCTTGCTCAATGAGACGATACGGATAGTCTTGAATAAAGTCACCATCAATAGTAGGTGTCCAGTAGGAAAGCGGAGCGGCAGTTCGTCTCAGGAAAGGAGTTGCGACATTCGCTTCTTGCAATATTGTTATGTCTTTTGATCTTAGGCACTTAAGCTCATCAAGAGATGCAGCGCAACCTGTGTCCTTGACATAGTTCGAGAACTGCCATTCTAGTTCGGAAACTTGAGACTGAGCTGGAAAAAATACCGATTCACCAATTCCACCAACAAACAGTCCATCGTTCCTGCCCCCGCTGCCATCTAGTTAGAATGTATCTCATCTAAGAAATAGGGAAGGGTCTTACTATGCTGTTAAGTGTAATGCCACCGATCCAGCACCTGCCGAAGCGCCGTGGATTACCACATGACTTGGATCTCCACCAAACTATTTTTGATTAGTAGTCTAACTGAGAGTTCGAAAGGGAGTTTATACCTGCTCAATATGTTGCTGGACCCATTCTAAAGCCATTCGCTGATCTAGTAATCCGACGTTGAGATCACCATTTGCCCTCACTTTCTCACTCGCCAGGAAGCCATACGGCCCAACCCGATAAGCAAAATTAACCATTACAATGTTCCGGCCGGAGTTCGCTACCACTGTCGAGCCATTGTAATTGGCGTTGGAGTTTGCCTCATAGCCTCCACCTGTAATGTAAACCCATACGGGAAGTTTTGACTTCGATGTTGCCGAAGCGGGGCTCCAGACGTTAACGAACAGGCAATCTTCAGACTCAGTCGTCGAGGGGAGTTTCGTGTTAATAGCTAGACAAATTGCTTGGAACTGGAACGCGGTCAGTTGAATATCCCAGAAAACGTCCACATTGAACTACCAGTGTCGCGTCTTGTACACCAGATGTCTTTAATGGATTTGCTGGGGCTCTAAATCGGAGGTCACCAAGAGGAGGGGCAGCATAACGCATCCCTAGATATTGGTTTACTCCAGAGCTAAGACGTATGCCTTGATATTGCGAGTATTCAAGATCGACAACAGGTTGGCCATCAACGCTTGGCGGTGACAAAGGCGCAGGGGTAACTCGGCTGACCACACCTAGTAGTACAACCAACCTTATGAAACAAGTAGTAAGAAGCATTGTAGAAAAAAGAAGAAATGAAAATACTCCAATACAACGTGAAAGATGGTGAATGGAAACCCATACTGGGGGTTTGAGCCTTTTTATACGGGACGAGGATACTTGCATCTAGTTAAGCTTTGCTTAAGAGTATCACATACGTAGCTCGGCATACTCGAGTAGCACAGCGCGAGGAGCGGAGGAACCATAACAGCCAATTCGCTGTTTTTTTCACATCTAGACTACACAGTTTCACAGCAGCATCATGTAATTGGAGGGTATACTTGTAAACATTAACAAAAACAAAATGCAGAACTGGCGGGGGCGGGGTAGAACCTTAGCGCAGCTTTCGCCAATAATTCTGGTGATGTAAGATTACGGAGCTACTCCGTTCCAAATGAGGATGGCGAAGCACGTGAGTACGAAGTAGAAAATCCATCGAGCTTCACCTGAGTGCATTGCAGGTATGAATGAGAAACTCAAGACAGAACAAAAGGCACCACTTTCGAAACCAAATCCTCAAGGGGAAAGCATGTCCTACCAGCTCAATAGCATCTTGTTGACGGGGTATTCCCATGGTTCTAAACCCCTTACTTATAGCTCTATTCAGAATCATCCTAAAGAGTTCTTGAAGCAGCAAGATTTCAAGTCACTTGGCTCTGCGGTATTGAAAACTCCAAATTCGACCTTCATCCACAAGAAAGAGCTGAGCAATCCCGCCGCCGATGTTCTGTGTGGGAGTCCAGACTGGACAGTTCTGTTGGCATGGCCTTGCTTTGAATTTGGGCATGCAATGCCCCACTATGAATGCATGATGCACACAACATGGAACTAGATCGGTTCGTGTAAGCGTCAAAGGAATAGAATGAGGAACGTCGTGAGAAGCTTTGAAATGCGTCGTCGTCGTCCCGTTGTCAAGTAATTGTCGCCACCCAGGAATAGGACTGATCAAGTCCAAGGCATATTCTCCGGCAAGATTCAGGTGCGTCGGCAGTCGGCCAAATATCGACTCGCGCCATATGCTGTTGGTTGCCTTGATCCAACCACGTAGATGCATGACCCATAGAGGCCATTTGACCGTAACATTACCCTTTTCAGCATAGCCCATGCATAAACACTGCTTGGTTCTCCCTTTTCATATATTTTGGACTGGTCCATTCGCTAGTGAGCACGTGGCCCCGCGAGCTGCTTGTAAATCCAGGGTCCTCATTCGTAAGGTAGGCTGGAGAGGAGATCATTTGATCCGCTGACTTCATTTGACGTGGAACGATCTCCGGCATTGGTTCGCTGGCGGTGAAGTCAAATACACAGAGATGGTTTAAAGGAAGTCTTCAAGATGGCCTTTGAATGGCATTGGTGTCAAGGGTCTCGGTGGCTTACATCTCTCATCTTCCCAAGGAACCATCCTTCCAGCTGGCTGAGTTGCAAGGCCGAGAAAGGCAGGAGTGCAAACACATATAATGGACGCACATGCATTCAAACGCGTCAGAAGTACACGAGGTTGAAGTCTGGCCGCGTAGACTCGCGACAAAAATGCAAACGTTTTCAAGACCGGATGACTCGAATCTGACAGATTCGATGGTTCGCAAAGATTTTGCGCACTCGGAGCTATCCAGTTTTTATATTACCAGGCAAGTAACATTCGTTGTCACGCATGGGACTTTGCGGAGTAAAGCTGTAAAATCATCGGAGGGGGCCAATGTCAACCCCCTAAGTGGTTCGCATTTGGTTCGGATGCCAGCCAGCGTCTTTGCCTCGCTGCAGCCAAGGAAGTCAGTAACAATAACTGCAAGGCTTATTTCCAGCCTCATAACTCCGTGCTCGAATTTCATAAAAATCACCATAATCGGGAACGGCTTTTGGCGTAATGCGTTACTTGTTGGGTGCGCACCAGTTGCCTCGTTCTCTTTCGGTATCTGGTACGATTTCTTGCCATGCTTGGCGCATAGTTGGAGATATTAGTAGAATCGAGGCGCTCCCCCATTGCCTTAAATAGAGACAATGCCCTTTCTCTGGGGGTTTGTATTGCCCCAGAAATTTCCAAAAAGCTTTGAATGTTCTTCCGTACCACCACCAAACGAAGGCCGGCTTAAGTGAGGTACTTATTGTACCTACCATCCATTTTGTGGAACTACAATACCTTCACCAGGCTCGTCTCATCCCATCCAAGCTCCATTGTTGTCGTAGCTCGTCATGAATAAAAGCTGCAATGGCTCAACCCAGATCACAATGGGTTTCCAGAAGCCGTTCGTCAAGTCAGCTTCTATATATTTGTAAGAAATTGACGTCTTCCAGATCAGAAGTCCCTCTTGCGCAAGCAGACCCTAGTCTGTCTATTTCCGCTTTCAAGGACGGGCCCTTGAGTATGCAATTCGACTCAAAAGTCGTCGCTGATACCGACGATATCCGACCCCCTTTTCGTAATGAAAAGATATCTCCTCGGTCACTGCACGGAAATGCACCAGTTGTCGGGAACAGAAATGGAAAGACTTTGACCGACGCGCCAGCAAGCACTAGGGACCAGCCATCACAATCCTCTGCGAGTACACCAACTCTACTTAAGTATGAAACTCATCTCGTTACCCACCAAATTGGAGACACCAGTTTCGACACCAGGTTCGCTTCTACATTCGATGATGGCTCAACCCCTTATCGCTCACTCGAGGATCGGCCGCAGCTTTGCCAATGGCTCAATGAGACTGAAAAGTCAAATCTCACTGTTACTGAAATACTCGAGAAGTCCAATTGGGAACCTAATGGGTCCAAGACGTCATCGATTCCAGCTCTCGTCTCCCATTTGCGAGAATTGAGTAAGGTTATTTCTATGTAAGGCCAGCAGCTACTTAACACGGATCAGGCAAATGCTCCCTGTTCCGCTTTGGGGAATTCGAAGCGTGATTTAGGGGTGCGAATCAAGGTGTATTAATTTCGGCGTTACTGGGTTCAAAGGTTGGACAGGCAAATAGGGAGTAATGCAAGATCCTGGGATGTTCTGCAAGGCATATATCGGTTCGTGGACAAACTTCCTTGTCATCCACGTTTCATGGTGCAGCCGTTGACGCCCAAAGTGGATCGTCATTTTGTGTTACTGGTTCAGACTAAGCATGCTGTTCTTAGACGCAGAACCTTGTTATGCTTAGTTAACATATTCAGTGTGCGTTACGGTTATGGAAGTGCGACAGTCTCCAGCGAGCGGTGTAAAAGTGATTAAAATTTAGGTGTAGTTCTCGGTGTTTGATATTTGGCGTTATTGCTTCCATAGAAACTTTTTAGGGTGGACCTTTAGATACCATATCAGACCGCCTGGGGTCATGTTAATAGTTACAGCCCTTCAATACAATAGTAAGTAAGAACAATGACCACGGGGATCTGACCCGCCAATCTCCTTCCCTCGTCAGTTTTGGAGGTGAAGAGGTGGGTCGCGGAGGTGTATGTAGACTAGAGAAGCCTCTATCCGCTGCTGATTGGTGAAGTGCGGATGAAATTGGATCCGAGTTGCGATGTGTAAGTCTAAGGTACAGTCAGCAAGGCATGCATGATCTTTATGGAAGGCCCTTAAGCAAGGGAAAGGGATAGATCGGGCTCAAAAGTCGCCGGAGCTGGTTTGAATGGCCTACGCTCGTTTATACTTTGGGTGGCTGGACGTGCAATCTTTTCCCATCGCGTTCAGGGGACATTAGACGAAAGGGGCGATTAGATGACAGTTTAGTCAGTTGATTGGTCACTTTCTAATTTAAAACCGCGAGACGTGTGCACATGCCAGAACGGGATAATGGCTCACTCAATCATAAGACGGATCGGTGACCGGATATTTTAAGACTTCTCGCTGGCTATCCGCACTCAGGATTGGCCGCAAGATTTTTTTCCCAAGTCGGAGAGAAACATGCTCTCGTCCAAACCAGAATTCGTAAATTGATTCGAGACTCGGGACCAAAAGTTTGATGCGCGTACCCAGGGAGTGGTCAATATACGAAGGCGATCGAAGCTATCGCGACAATCAAGACGAGGCCCGAACGATACTATTACAAGACGGCTAGCGGCACATCGTGATCTCTATCACCTGCAGGGGCAAGGTCGTGCTAAAGACAAGCAAGGGTCTTCTGGATTTACGAAGGACCCGTTGATATCCCTCTGTAACCCTTGAGCCTCAAAAAAGGTGATAGCATAGCCAAGACCAGAAGTGGGTACTTGTACTTGTACCTCCTACTGATTGTAGATCATCCCCCGGCCCCGGATCCCCCACCCCCGCATTTAACCTCCCTAGCGACGCGACCCCACCCCACTTCACGATAGGCCTGGCACGCCACCAATCTCACTGCGTTTTTGGTAGGAATAGAACTATGGCTACCTGATTTTTGGGCTGCTCCAGGCGCTGGATTGTGGCACGACAAGTCGGTACTTTACGAACCCCAGCCATAAGGACTCGTAAACATGGTGGACCTCGGCACTTGCGGAATTGCCATACATGAAAGGAAAATACTAGATATTAGACCCGGCTAGGGATCCTAGCTGTCCAGCCGTCAATCCGCTAGAGCGTGGTACCTGCTAATTGCAAAAAACGGGTGTTGTACATCTCTGGTACCTTATTTCGTAGTTCCTACGACTCGGCATCATTGGTGGTATAACAACAAAGCTCTCATGCAAAGACTTGTGCATGTTCCAATACTGCCAGTCTCATCTCGAGAACCGATAATTGTGGTTTTGACCTGGTATTATCGATCAATTAATGCAATTTTCGGGCTTGAGATAGGAGGTGTTCGCGTCTTGAGATTTGGGAAACAGATGTGAAGGCACGGAATTCCGAATGGGACGACAATGCAAAGGGTTCATCGATGACGCCGCTTTCAAAGAGCTCGGATGGAACACGAAGAGGATATTACTGTACCCGGTGTCGAGATCGGTCTGTACAGATATGCAGCCCAGGAGATTACAGTTGAACCAGTGTGTCTAAAAGTTGAACCAGTGTGGGAATTAACTTTTAGCCACACTGGTTGAACTGTAACCACGCAGTCCAGTGACCA